AGGAAGGAAGGAAGGAAGGAAGGAAGGAAGGAAGGAAGGAAGATAGCAATAGCACTTAGACTTTTATACTGCTTTACAGTGCTTTACAGCCCTCTCTAAGCATTTTTACAGAGTCAGCCTCTTGCCCCCATCAATCTGGGTCCTCGTTTTACCCACCTCAGAAGGATGGAAGGCTGAGTCAACCTTGAGCCTGGGGAGACTCGAATTGCCAAATTGCAAGCAGCTGGCAGTCGGCAGAAGTACTGCAATCTGACCACCGCGCCACCAAGGCTCTTAGAACATTTCTCACTGTCCTTGAAATAAAACCTTTAAATTGGATTTTAAGATTCTCCATCAACAAGGATGAGCATTCGGAAGTTTTTTTTTTTTTTCTGTTGTGTTCCCTTCCAAAAGAGCCCAGGGTATCCATTTAAGAAGAAATGCAGTGCACCTCCCCAAAAATCGCTTTCGCCATTATTGATTTTGTTAATTAATATTTAATTTGCTGTTAATGTTAATTGCGAGATTAATTAATTAATGGAATAGCTTGCCGGCTGGGCGTGGTGGACGCTCCATCACTGTAGGTTTTGAAAAATAGACAGGACAACCCTTTGACCGGGATTGGTGCAAGGTTTCCTGACTTGTGCAGGGGGTTAGACTAGAAGACCTTTGAGGTCCTTTCCAGCCTTATGGAATTCTTTGTTATCCAACAAAATCCTTCATTCGGCCGCTAGAGGGCAGTCTTGCCATTTCATTGAGAAATGCGCACACTCAAGGATTTGAAAGCTGTGGATGCCCGGACATTGTAAACTACAACTCCCAGAATTCCTGAAAATTGTCCATCCAGAATTGGATTTGGGAGCATCTGGACAGCCATCGGACCCCCATTTCTGGAGGTGGGGGGGAGCCTGAAAGAAGTTCTGTATATTGTTATGCATATGTTGTTAGTTGCAAAGTCATGTCTGACCCATCGTGACTCCATGGACAACGTTCCTCCAGGCCTTCCTGTCCTCTACCATCCTCCAGAGTCCATTGAAGCTCACACCAACTGCTTCAATGACTCCATCCAGCCACCTCCTTCTGTGCTGTCCCCTTCTTCTTCTTTTGCTCTCAATCTTCCCCAGCATTAGGCTCTTCTCCAGTGAGTCCTTCCTTCTCATGAGGTGGCCAAAGGATTTGAGTTTCATCTTCAGGATCTGGCCTTCTAAAGAGCAGTCAGGGTTGATCTCCTCTAGGACTGACCGGTTGGATCGTCTTGCAGTCCAAGGGACTTGCAGGAATCTTCTCCTCCAGCACCAGAGTCCAGAGAACCTCCATTCTTTGGTGCTCAGCCTTCCTTATGGTCCAATTTTCACAGCCTTACATTGCAACTGGGAAAACCACAGCCTTGACTAGACGCACTTTTGTTGGCAGGGTGATGTCTCTGCTTTTGAGTAGGCTGTCTAGATTTGCCATAGCTTTCCCCCCCGCCAGGAGCAAACGTCTTTTAATTTCTTAAAAATTAAACATATACACAGTTATATGTATAAAAGTTATACGTATATACAATTAAAACAACAACATCAAACTGTTGAGCTGCGTGCATTGCAGAGTTTCAGAAATTAATTATAGGCAGGTCTCGACTTGCAAACATTCGCTTGGTGAGCAAGGTTGCAACAGCACTGGAAAAAAGTGATTAATGACCGGTCCTTACGCTTACTGTTGCAACATCTTCACTGTTACATGAACAAAATTAGGACACTTGTCACTCATGATGTTTTCAATGTCTAGGGCTCACATGGTCACCAGGTGAGACCTTCTAAGCTGTCTCTGATGTCTCAGATGAATGGGGGGGGGGGGGAAGCCAGATTCACTTAATGACCACCGTGATTTGCCTAACGACCATGGCCAAAAAAGGGTCATAAAATTGGGTGCGACATGCTTTGCCACCACCGTGCTTAGCAAGTAGAAATTCTACCGATGTGATTGTTGAGTTGAGTTTCCTGTAGTTTTGATATTAAGATTTAAGAGCTGACCAGCAGCAGTAATAACTGCCAGATGCTGTAAGTCTGATGCAATGTTAAGCTGATGAAGTGAAGGTGATTCAGCATAGCATGGGTATTTCCCTTTAAGACTGGGGATGGGTTATATCACTTTAAGAGGTGTTTATATAAGAGGCAGCCATTAGAGGGTGTGTTCTCTCTCCTTGTGGTCCAGTATTCATTGCAGAGTTCTCCATGTGTAGCGTTAAGAAGAAAGCTTACTTGTAAAGGTATTTTGCCTACCACGTTTATGTTTCTGTATATAACTGTTGTAGAGAAACTACTGTTAAACGTATCAGTCTCTGCGTGCTGTGTTTTACTCCCAGGTTGTCTCATAATAGCAGTCACGCTGCAAATGCTCTGACACTGTATATTCGCACAGCTTCATTATCGGCTTGGACAGTCCCGGCGTGGTTTTTCCCCTCCTAAGTTTCTGGACCCTGGTGTGCTCTTCTTGGAAAAGCCAGGGGTTTTTCTCTCTCGCTCCTGAGTTTTCACTGGGTTTCTCCTCTTCTTCGTAGATCTGCAATGAAGCCCTGCAGATGCACGGCGGCTATGGCTACCTGAAGGATTACGCTGTGCAACAGTTTGTGCGAGACATCAGGGTGCACCAGATTTTGGAAGGTAGGTTGCTGGGCAGTTCCTAGGAGCTTGGACCCTGCTGTTCACACACACAGACAGGTGCTGTGGTTGGATTCACACAACCTCGGCTACTCTTGGCCGCTCTCGGCGTCTCCTGGATGCACACCAGTTAAATACAAACCGAGTCATATATTGGACCGATGGTTCAGGGGCTGCGCTCCGTTCTCGATCAGGTCCTTGGCACAGTGGTTGTTTTGTCTGGCTTGAGAAAATGTGCTTTAAAACTGCTGCTTCTAGTTAGAGAGAGAGAGAAAGTGGGGGAGAGAGGCAGAGAGAGAGGGAGAGAGAAAGAGAGGAAGAGAGAAAGAGGGGGGATAGAGAGAGGGGGGGAGAGGCAGGGAGAGGGAGAGAGGGAAGGAGAGAGAAAAACAGAAAGAGAGGGAGAGAAAAGGGTTGAGAGAGGGGCAGAGAGAGACACAGGGGGGGGGGAGAGAAAAAGAGGGAGAGAAAGGGAGGGAGGGGGGAGAGGAAGAGAGAAGGAGAGAAAGAAAGAGAGAGGGAGAGATAAAGAGACAGAGAGAGAGAGGGACAGACTGGGTGTGAGGCAGAGAGAGATGGGGAGAGAAAGAGAGAGGGAGGGAGGGAAAGATAGAGAAAGAGAGGGAGAGAGAGACAGAAACAGGGAGAGAGGGAGAGAGAGAGAGACAGAGAGAGAAAGAGTGACAGAGAGAAAGAGAGCGAGAGACAGAGAGAGAAAGAGACAGACACACAGAGAGAAAGAAAGCCAGGCCAATAGACCATCACCCAGAATAAAACAAAAAGTTAAGTAAAAAATAGTAAATTTCTAAGTGTAGTAATAATGTTCTCCCATTATGTGAGAGTTTGTGAACATCAGAGAAAATATAATTGCATTTGGGAATTTACTGCATTTAAAGATTTACTGTTTCTGGATTACCTGTACTTAGGAATTTCCAGTTTCTCTACGTAGGTCAAGCGAGGGACAGTTTAGAAGAAATTGTGAACATTTAATGCAATTTATATATTTAAATTGGATTATGGGCAGTCATTTCAGCAACCTGTTAAAGTTACAACGGAGCCCCTCCAAAAGGGGCTTATGTCTCGGTTTCGAAGTTCCAACATTGCTCCCTCCTCCTCCATGATCACATGACCACATTTTGAGCCCTGGGCAACTGTCACAGCCATTTGCAGCATCTCGAAATCCCATGATCCCGATTTATTACATTTTTGCTAAAACAACGGATTTTCTTCACCACCATTGCAAAAAAATAATTGTAAAAGCAGGGTCCGGTCATATGACTCGCTTTACAACACACGTCCATAATTGCCAGGCTCAATTACGGTCATAAGTCGAGGACCACCTGTCGAGAGCCGGCCTGGGGGCGGCTCCGGTGGCCTAGAGGTGGAGCTCTCGCCTCATAATCAGGAGGTTGTGTGAGTTCGATCCTAGCTAGAGGCTGATATTTGGAATAGACTCTCCTGCTCGAGCAGGGGGTTGGACTAGATGACCTCCAAGATCCCTTCCAACACTGTATGTTCTATGATTATTCTAAGCATTGAAGCGCCATTTCTTAGGATGCAAAATTGGGGTTCCCTGCCATTTGGTACCTCATGTTGTAGTTCGCCAGCAGCCTGTGCAGACAGCAGTGGAATTTGACAGTGGGGAAGAACGGGGACCAGTTTGGGAGTCTGGAAAGGACTCGGATGAGGGTCTTGTGTCCGATGCAGAGAATTATGTGGGAATTCTGGGAATTATGTGCTGCCTCCGGAGCCTCGGAGTCTGGCAACAGCGAGGCAAAGGAACAAGGAGAGCCTGTTCCCAGTATGTGTGTGCGCAGATTTGCGAGAAGGCTGAGACAAAAGGGGCAACTCGGGAGTAAGGCTTGGAGGTGATTGCCCCTCCCATAAGGTATAAAGGACAGGCAAAGGTGAAGAAACCTTTGCAGGAAGCAGTGTTCGTTCTGTTCGGATTAATCCTTGAAGCTCTGTGGACTTTGTACTTCGGTTGGTTTTTTTTATAGTTCATTTGACACTTTTGTTGTTGGCCTCAATTCAAAGGAGAGAAAGGTGGATGCTTATCTCGAGGGACTGTTTGGTACCCATTACTGGCTGGGAATGAACATAATTCCCAGCGTTGAAATAAAACAAGAGTTGTTTTAACTAATTGTGTGCTTAATTACTCGGAAGCCTTGGTCAGGACACCTCTTTTGCACCCAGGCCGTTCTGCAGTTCGTTAACTAACACACACATTTCTTGTTTCCCTCTTTGTGCGCTGCAGGGACCAATGAAATCATGAAAATGATCATAGCCAGGACTCTGTTACAAGCCTGAGTGTCCGGAGCTGGCCATCGGCCTCAGTGTGCTACAAGGTGCTTTGGGGACACACGCGCCAGGCAAGAGGAAAAGCGATGCATTTTTCTCTTTGGCCTAAATTCCAGATTTTGCAACCGGCACAGACTGGTAGAGCTGGAAAGTCAGGACAAAGGCAGTCTGGTCTCAATAGATCCTTTTGTCCACAATAGTGCCAACGCTGAACATCTGCTCCCCACTACTGGTTGAAATTCCTCCATGTGGGAGTTCTCGGCATCAGCCCTCCATCACCATGGGTTCCCGCATCCCAGCAGCGTCTCCTCCTGGGAAGAATCAGATCCATTCTGGATTTAGCTTTAGCTGGGAAACCTACTCATTTTCTTCTTAATGCTTACTTCTCTTCAGAAAAAGGGAGAATTGTTTCCCAAAGGAGACAAAAACCTCTCTCTCTTTATTCCCCCATCCCCCAGTCTTTAACACGGAAAGGAAGTCTTGCCATGCTCTTGGTAAGTCAATTTTTAGCATGGGGATGGTAGGAACCTGATTTAAACAAAAACAAAAATCTTTTGCCATCGTGTTAGTTGGCCACAGAAAAGCCAACCATGAACTTGTTCGTTTGTTTGCGTCAGAAGCATCACAATTGAAATAAGACGTACTTGTATGCCACACACAGTTGAAAATATAAAATCACAGGATTAAAATCTGTACAAGCTAAAACGAATCGCGCCCAGAGTGAAGTGCAAACTGCAGATTATTTCCTTCCGAATGTTGGAATCAATAAACGCCTCGTGATTTCTTGTCTTTCTCATCTGCTCGTTTTCGGTTTGTGTGGCGAGATGATTTTATCCCACATTCTTGAGGCTTGTAAGAGAGAGCTGGCTTTTGAATCCCTTCCTTCCTTCCTTCCTTCCTCCCTCCCTCCCTCCCTTCTTTCCTTCCTTCCTTCCTTCCTTCCGAAATCTATATTGCTGCCTATTCGCACATTGGCGATTCAAGGCAGCTTACAAGAATATTAACTCATATAAAAAAACTAATAAAAGAGAGAATCATATAATAGATTAACAGAATAACAGAGTTGGAAGGGACTTTGGAGGTCATCTAGTCCAACCCACCACCCAAGCAGGAGACCCTACACAATTCCTGACAGATGGCAGTCCAATCTCTTCTTAAAAGCTTCCAGGGATGAAGCTCCCACAACTTCCAAAGGCAACTTCTGTTCCATAGGTTGATAGTTCTCACTGTCGGAAAGTTTCTCATTTCCAGATTGAATCTCTCGTCCATCCATTATTCCTTGTCTGGCCTTCAGGTTTTTTGGAAAATAGGTTGTTCCTCTCCTCCCTATGGCAGCCCCTCAAATATTGGAAGAGTGCTATCGTGTCTAAATTCATAATACGTATAATAAAATAACTCCCCGCCCTGGCAACATATCACACAAGCCATTTAATGGACTCCATCCTGCTCTGGATTCCCCAGGCTCGCTGGCAGAACCAGGTCTTCAGTGCTAGAGCGGCGGCCATTTTAATCTCTGGGGGAATGATGTTCCAGAGAGAGGGAGCCACCACAGAGAGGGCCCTTCTTCTGGATCCCGCCAGGTGTATCTCCCTTGGGGTTGGCCGCCATTTTGACCTCGCTACCAGTGGACATTCCTAGAAGGAGGGGAAGCCCATAGTTGATTTTTGGTAGCGGCTTTTGCAAGCAGCCACGTCTGCCAAGGTGGAAGCCATGTCCCAATGACGGCTCCCCAATAAAAATTAAAAAATCCCAAGGGGATTTGCAGAGAAGGCTCAGTCTTCGATGCAGATGCGTCAGCGGGTTGCCTGGGTCGATATAGCTGCCCTTCTGGGGGATGAATCCATAGATGAGTGCACCCCAAACTGAGAGAGAACATGTTCCCTGGGGAAAATAAATCAATACAGGGGTAGTCCTCGACTTAAATATAGTATTTAAATATAATTGTTAACGGCTTTAATGAAAATGGGAAGCCATTCCTTTTTTGTAATTTCCCCCCTTCTTTTCCGTTTTCTTTGGCATCTTCAAGAGCACAATTCCCAGTTGCAGCTCCAACACGTGTCTGGGAGGGACATGCTTCTTGGCTGTGTTCACATGTTCAGCTTCTCATGGGTTCGACCCCCCCCCCGTTTTTTTCTTTGTGGGGGTTGTGTGTGAATCAGGGGGTGGGGGGGTTATAATGGGGTTTTTCGTGTTTTAGCCAGACAGAGCTCAACGGGGGGCAAGGATTTGATAGGATTAGATCTATGATAACGACGAGGGAGATATGATATAATCTGCATCCGTTATAATTGTCGCTCCTGTAATGAAAATGGGAAGCCATTTATTTTGTAATTTCCCCCCCCCCCCCCCTTTTGCTTTTTCTTTCACGTCTTCAAGGGCGGGATTCGCAGCCGCAGCTCCAACACGTCTCTGGGCAGGACACGCTTCTTGGCTGCGTTCACACGTTAAGCTTCCCAAGGGTTCGCCTCCCTTGGTTTTTTTTCTTGGGGGAGGGATGGGGTTCTTTGTGTATGAATCGGGGGTTACAATGGGGTTTTAAGTGTTTTCAGCCACACCGAGCCGATCCCTCTGAGGAGACCGTCAGCGGCCCGCAAGAGAGTTGCGGACCATCTACATAGCGCGCTCCACCCGGGCCACAGGTGAGGCGCCGTGGGCGGGGCGAAAGAGCGACGGGAGCGCCGTCCAATGGGCGCGAGGGGCCGGGTGCGGTCTCGCGCGCCAGAGCGCCCGCCTCCCCCCCGTCGCCGTCCAATGGCGTCTCTGCGCCTGGGCCGCCCTCCTCCAATGGGAGGCGCCTCCTCCCGTTAACGGGGCGCCCGTGCGTGGGAGCCGGAGCGGCGGGACGGGGCTGGACGGGTCCGGGTCTCGCCGGAGGTCGTCGGCCATGTGGAGCTGCGCGGGGCGCCGCCGTCGCCGGCTGCTGGCGGGCCTTTTCGTGCTGCTGCTGGCCGCCGTCGCCATCCGCAGGTGAGGCAGACGGAGAGACAAGAGGGCGTGGCTCCAATGCCCCGCCCCCAGACCGCGCTCTGGCCACGCCCCCTCGGAGGGACCCCCCCTCCTCTCCCCAGGTTACTACCGAGCCCATCCTAGGGGTTCCCCTACCCATCATCCTTCCTTCCCTCCCTGCAGCTGCCTTTCCCCTTCTTCTAAGGCTGGTGTTCTCCCCCCACCATCCCAAATGGATGCTGCGACTGCCGCCCCCATAGTCCCAAGCCGACCACCAGGCCCATCATCCACAGCCCGGCTGGCCACGGGCTGGAAGATCACAAGGGGGGGGGGAAGGCCACCTCCCCACTCCCCATCCTATCCCATCCCCTCCCCCTTAGGAGACCCCCTCTCTCCATTTGCAAAATTTACTCCATTTCCAACATCTTTTGCTGGCTGCGTATATTTTGCAGGAACACAACATTGCACACAGACACACACACACAAAGGCGCACAGCTATGCTTTAAAAGGCAGTCTCCCCCCCCCCCCCCCCCCCAAAAAAAAAAGTTTGTTTATTTTTCCTTCTTTGCAAGCGTCTTTCAAACTTGCCTTTGCACCCCGCAACATCCGAAGGTGCCCATTGCAAACTTGGCCCGGACTTTGGGACGCCAGATACCAGGGGGTGCATGTCAGAAAGAGAGGACCCGCTCCTATCCATCCTGAGTCATCTCATCTGGTTATTTTGGGTGGACACACATACACCTCCCAACCTTGCACCTGCTATTTTAGAGAAAGAGCCACAGATCCGTTGGGAAAGCCTACAATCTGCCTTTGCCCGGATGATGCCTTAGTGCCTTAATGGCAGGCGACGTGTTGTTGGTTTTCTGTTGCAAAGGAGATGCATTTCTCAGCACAAATAAGCAATGGTTGCATAGAATGAGAAATTGGACAAGTTAGTGCACTGTCTTCCCCTTTAAGAGGTCATAATAGTAATAGTAATAAATAACAGCAACAACAACAATAAAAATAATAATAGAAGATACCTAGGATGCTGGCAGCAACCCATATCAACCAATAGGGCCAGTCAGTTATATTTGTGATACATTTTTAAATATTCAATTGACTAAGTTTCATGTTTAATGGATAAAATTAATAATAATATAATCATCATCATCATACATTTTAAGAAGATACTTGATTGATACCTAGGATGCTGACAGCAAACCTTATCAACCATTAGGGCCAGTCAGTGATATTTGTGATACATTTTTAAATGTTCAGTTGATTGAGTTTCATGTTTAATGAATAAAAGTATAATAATAATATAGTAATAGTAATAGATTTGGATCCTGTCTTTATTAATTAGATATTTATCCTTCCTGTATGACTGTACAAGCAACACAAGTTAGAAAACATTCTTAATACTCCTCCTTCCTCCTATTTTTCCCACGCAACAACCCTGTGAGGAAGGTTAGGCTGGGAGAGAGTGATTGGCCCAAAGTCCCCCAGCCAGCTTTCATGCCTGAGGCAGAACTAGAACTCACACCCTCCTGGTTTCTAAGCTAGCATCATCACCAAAACTGCCTTTCATTTTTATACATAACTCAAGGCAGCAAACCTAGCATAAGCTTGCCACCTATTTTTCCCACAACAACAATGTGAGGTAAGTCGGACGGATTGAACAATGCCTGGCTAAGGTTGCTATGTACATTTCCCCCATTTCTTCATATCCTTTTATTGGAGGGGCAGCACTGCCCGACTCATCAGCTGCTTACTTAGATAAATCTGGTGTTGTTTTATAAGTAATTTCATGCAATTTGCTGAGAATGTAGAAAATAAATCTCATATTGTTTGCAAATGAAAGAAAGCTTCAATCTTCTGGGAATTAACCCCATGGTAGTTTTCTGCTCGTAAAGGAAAGACGTTGGTGAATCTAAGCATATGTTCTTCTCTGATGTTTGTCCTGTAGCAACATTCATACCAGTCTCATCTTACCATTACTGCATAAATACACAAGGCACACCAGGTAATTTTACACCGTCCTGTTGATTTCAGATGCCACTTCTGCTGCAACATATAATATTGCCAGATTCACAGTAGCAGCACTCCTAAATTCATCAGAGAATGGCTTCTCACTTTAAACTAGATTTCCATGTGTGCCTGGTTTATGGTATTAGGGCTCTCTGAAACTTACTACAAATAGTTTTCCGCTTGCTAACTTTTTACGCTCCTTCTTTCTCACTTGTTAAATCTTTTGTTCCATGTATTCAATTTGTGCATCTTTTATACCTTCTAGATTTTTTTATAATTCATTTAAATTCACAGCTCCTTTATACGGGCTTCCTTTCAAGGGCCGTATCTTGCCCCCTTAACGGCGATCTATGGCTCTAATAAAAATTGATTTGCTTTGACAAAGGAAGGCAAAAGTGATTGGAGCGTATTCCTTTGCTTGCAAGTTGTCAAAAGATTAATTTTAAGGCTGCCTCTGTGATGATTTTTCAAGCTCTATAAGATCTAATATGATTTTTTCGTGGAGCTGAAAGCAGATGTGTATATTTTAAATTGTGTTTTAATTACTTCCTTCTCTGTGGCCAAATAGAGGGAGACAGAAACAGGTCATCCATCGTGAAGTGCAAGTCAAGAGCCATCCTTCTTGTAGAGTCATTCTTTAATTTGGTGTCAAATTAGTTTCAGCCCTAGTGAACTTTTTTCATGTTGAGACTTCCATGTTGGAATGTATGTTTCCTGTGAGTTTTCTATAAAAAAAAAGTACAAGAAACACAGAAGAGTTTGGTCTGTTGTGACCACAAACAAAAATTTATTCGCATGAAAAGAATGTCTATTTTCCAGCCTCAATTTATGACAGACACATGTAAAATATTCCCATCAAAGGTCCAGTAGTTCATCAGACCCGTTAGTTGAGGGAAATGCATTCATTTGGGAGGATTCAAAAACTATAAAACTTTATGAAGATTCTCAGCCATCCAGGTCATGGTTGTCCCAAATGAATGCATTTCCCTCAACTAACGGGTCTGATTAACTACTGGACCTTTGATGGGAATATTTTCTGGAGGCCACTGGACTTTCTGGTTTTTCTTTGAAGAGGTTTCACTTCTCATCCAAGAAGCTTCTTCAGCTCTGACTGGCCATTCCCCACCATCCAGTCAGAGCTAAAGAAGCTTCTTGGATCAGAAGCGAAACCTGTTCAAAAGAAAAAAAAACCCAGAAAGTTCAGTAGCCTCCAGAAAAAGCACCTTTGGGACATTCAAATCATAGTTGTATCAAAAGTGGTTTTTATTTTTGAAAAGGCAGTCCAACTGATTCAGGTGATGGCCGGCCCTTCCATCTCCCGCACCATCCAACACAACTGATGAAGCTCCCAGGATAGGAAGCAAAATGTTGTCTTCTTCCTCGTCAAAAATAAAAATAAAAAATCGGTCTACGTGCTTTTTCAAAAATAAAAACCACTTTTGATACAAAACTGTATATTCTTTATAACGTCATATTTACCAATAATAGATAGCTGCAAAAAATAGATTCAAATCACAGAAAACCAGCCACCATTCTCTTAATATTTTTGGATCACAACTACACTCATCCCTTGCTGTTAATCCACTGGCTAGGACTGATGGGAGTTGGAATCCTCACAGATCAGTGGAATGCAGTTGGCCATCTGCTTCCCTGTTATGATCCAAATTGGTGCATTTTTCCCCCCTCCTAGTTCCTTTCTCTTCCAGTGATACCTGCATGCATGTCTCTGGATGTGAATCAGGATGGTTTAAGTCTTGCAAGTGCGAGAAAGCACCTTTTTAAATTATTTCTACACTCCTGAGGTCGCCTTCTATCCTATTTGTGTTTCTGCTTGCTGGGTGTATCCTCTTCTTAGGATAAATGTCCTTCTAAAGCCATGGCCCTGCTTAGCTTCCTCCCTCTGTTAAAGCTGGATAACAATTAAAGCTTTAGGTCAGTGGAGCAAAGGGTTATTGGAAGGTATATTGAGTTAAGCTGAATTAAAAAATTAAGGTCACGTTTGGCCCTTGGAAATAGTGACTTCTGGAAAAAAGGTTATAGGTAGTTCTTGACTACAGTTGAGCCCCAAATTTCCGTTGCCAAGTGAGACATTTGTTAAGTGAGTTTTGCCCCATTGTACGACTTCTGTTGCTGCTGCAGTTGTTAAAATTAGTAATACGATTGTTAAGCGAATCTGGTTTAACCCCACGGACTTCACTTGTTGGAAGGTCCCTAGATCACACGACCTAGAGATGCTGCAACCGTCATAAAGGTGAGTCAGTTGTCAAGCACCCGAGCGTAAATCACATGACTGTGGGGATGCTGCAATGGTCATAAGCCTGAAAAATGGCCATAAGTCATTTTTTTCCCAGTGCCATTGTAATTTCAAACTGTCAGTAAGTGAACTCTGTATAGTGCTTAGGATTTGATTTGGAAGAGGCCCTTTCAGAATTGCAGATTGAACGCTATCCTGCAATGGGTTAAAGCAGACAAATATTTTTTCCCCAGAATGGAAGTTCAGACAAATGTACGCACCATGTCCTTCTGTTTAGTTTGGCTACGGTTTATGTACACAACTGGGCAATATTCATTAATGTGTAAAAAAAAAAAAATCACCCCAAAACTAAACCCTCGTGAACATTGTCGATTTATAGTATATTTTAAGGATGTGGGGTGTGTGTGTGTGTGTAGATAGGTAGGTAGGTAGGTAGGTAGATAGATAGATAGATAGATAGATAGATAGATAGATAGATAGATAGATAGATATACTGTAGATATAGATATATAGAATGGAATGGTTTGGAATAGAATAGAACAGAACAGAATAGAATAGATATTGGAATATAGAATAGAAAAAAAAATAGAACAGAATAGAATAGTAAATAGAATAGAATAGAATTCTTTTATTGGCCAAGTGTGATTGGACACACAAGGAATTTGTCCTGGTGCAAATGCTCTCAGTGTACATAAAAGAAAACATACATTTGTCAAGAGTCAACAATCATCAGGTCCAACATTTAATAATAGTCAT